AATAATGTCAACAATGTCAATAATGTCATTAATGTCAATTATATCAACAATGTCAAGAATATCACGTAATACATGTAAATCAATTTGTAGATCATCCAGTAGATCAATTCTGTGTAATTGCTTGTGTAATTTCTTTAGTAAATTAATTTAGTAAAACATGTCGATCCTTTGCTTTGCCACATTTTCTTGCTAAAATTACCTTGCAACGGTACAAAAAATCATTTAAAATTTGAAAGATGATCAGATTAACATTATGTAGGCTGTTTTCAATCAAATCTTTTTTATTCTTTAGCATCATATGGGATAAGTATTGCAAAAAGGGATTAAATTGTAAAAAAAAATTTTTTTAAAATAATTAAAGTTCTGGATCAAACAATAAAAGTTACATCTATTTTACTTAGGAATAAATTTTTGAAAAAAATTTCAATTTGGTCCCTTTTCGCAGTACTTATCCCATATGTGATATTTCAAAGTTGAATAGCAAAATAATCTTGTAATTCTGACATAACTATTAGGCTAGCTAGTGATAATACTCATCTATCAAAATTATGAATTCATTATATGATTCGTAACATTTTTTTTTCAATCAAAATCTCTTTCTTTTATTTATTTTTCCTAAAGTAAATTCTTGTCACTTTGTAATTTATCATATTTCTTAAAAAATTTGAACACTTTATTAATATATCCATTATCTCACTCAATTAATTGATTAATAAGATTATAATCAATTATAAACGTGCAAACATCTGGATCTAACAAAATTATCTTTTTATAAATATTATTTTAGTTGTCAATAATGTTTAAAGAAATGAAAATATATAAGTAAAATATCACAGGTAATTCATAATTATGTTAATTATATTATTGATCTCTGGTAGTTATTCTAAGATAATAATACTTTTTAGAAACACATATATGTTCTCTATTTCTATTTCAATTCCTGATAAGAATCAAAATAGTTTGTATTTGATTCTTCTTCAATTAGCATTTCATTCAAAAATTATTTCTGTATAACGTTTTGTTTATTTTGTATATATTATTAATTATCAAAATATACCTTTTTAGAAGTCTCTTTTATCAATTTTTCAGTTACGAAACACCTATAGTATCATTTAGATAATGCTTTCATATAATATCATATTAATGTCCCATCATTTGCATCATATAAAAAACTTTATTATATGTTCACCTTACAGTTTTCATTTACTTTTTTAGCTTTTCTCTTTCTTCATATGTTAGGTAAATCTGTATCTTTCATGTTTTTAATTTTTCTTCATCATTTTTGATTCTTGATTGATCTGAACCTATTGTTTCTTATTGTAAAGATAGTATTAATCAATAATAAGTCTTGGTAAGCTCACCTGATTCAGTATCATCAACATTAATGCCTAAACTGAATATTATAATGCTTAATAAAGATTTATTCAACTAGTTCAAAAGTGAAGTGGCAGAGTCAATCCTTATGGGTAATCACAATCTTCTCAATATCTCCTTGATATAATCATTCTAAAATAGATGTGAAACTCTTGTGTTTTCAGTTGAGATCTGTCCTGATGTTTTTGATAATTCATGGTTTGAACATTTCTGCCTAAGGATCTTTTTCTTTTCATTTACCCTTTCTTGATTTCCAAATATCTTCTCCACATCCACTACAGAATACAATCTGTTACCCTCTGGTATTCTGATGCATGATACCTTTCCTTGGTTGTTCTACCTTCTTAATGTTTCATATGGTTTTCAGATTTCTTATCCTCCTTACTATTATTTTTCAAAAAAAAATTTGATATGATTTACTCAGACATGCGAAAACGGAACTTATTTATACTTGACAAATAATATCAAATCATCGATAATGATGTAATGAAGAAGATTCAATATTCTTTGTCATTAATAATCAGATACTTAATATTATTAAAAATAACTAATACATAAAAATCAGTAAAATAAATAGCAACATTTGTATTGTTTATGACCGTTTAAACCGTTCAATAGAAATTATTAATCTCTGAACGATTAATATGTATTTTTTATTAAAAAAGATTTGAATTTAAAAAAATTAATGTGAAATAAATACTAATAAAAATGACGGATTTCATGTTTTTGTGATTTTTTTTTTAAATTAAAGAAATTCTTATTATTATTTATTAATTCAACTGATTTTTTTTACATGTAATCACAATTTTGAAATTATAATATCAGCCCATTGTCGAACAGGAGAATATATCCTTTGGTTATCCCAATATCGTTTCATTCAGTATTGACTAAAATAGCTAATGTAATGCAACTCCATTTTCAGACGGTAAATAAATAACATATTGAGCGCCATAGAATAACATTTTTTCTAAAAACTACTTTCGATATTTCCAATTCACCATCTGTGAAAATTTTAAATAAATATTACAAACATACATATTGGTTTATTACAATGCAATTATGAGAAGCAACATGTTCAGGTTTAGGGGTTAGACAAAAATGTATAAACTCAGGTTTATCAAACACGGGCAATTTCATAAATTTTTGTTTCAAAAGATTATTTTAAAATAATAATATAAAAAGCAAAATTGCTATCTTTTTTTTGATTTCACACCAAATCTGGCTAAAACAAATTTTTTTTTATAAATTTTTTAAGACCTGGCTTAGAAATTTTGATTACCGTTCCGGCTTTCTTTTTATCATAAAATCAAAATGCAAAATACTAGTAATTCAAGTGAGTGGATAAATTGGATTGAAGAAGCTATTTCAAGAAAATATATCAAATGTTACGAATATAAGGATTTTAGCAATTTTCAAGTAATTGGTACCGGCAACTTTGGAAACGTCTATCGTGCAAATTGGAAAGATACAAGACAACATCTCGCACTAAAATCATTTTTTAACTTCAACAATGAGATTGTTAAAGAAGTTGTTCGTGAGGTAATTATAAAATATAATATATTTAATAGAAATTCATCTTATATCAAGCTAAACTTTTAATTTTATAATAATTCAGCTTGAATTTCAACATGAAGTTGGTTTTCATGATAATATTATCCGCTTTTGTGGAATAACTATTTCAAATAAAGGTATAAAATCTTCAAATTGAAGTTTTATTAAGGGTACACATCGCCTTTTATATTTTATTTTAATCATATATATATATATATTTTTTTTTAAAAAAAATTAATTATTAGAAAATCATAACGATCATTTGAAAAGATACTGGTTAGTGATGGAATATGCTGATGGCGGTGCGCTTAGAACATATTTGAAGAAAAGTTTTGATAACCTTACTTGGGTAGATAAATGCAACTTGGCATTACAATTGGCTTGTGCCGTATCGTGTTTACATAAGAAAGGAATTGTTCATCGTGATTTGGTAATAATTATATAAAATTTATTTTATTGAATATCGCTTGATGTTTTTAAGAGAATTAAAATTTAATTTTTTTATAATTATAGCATTCAGGCAATATATTAATTCGTCAAGGTATGATTAAACTAGCTGATTTTGGATTATCGAAAAGATTTGAAACATCAATTAAACAACAATCAAGAGTTTTTGGTGTACTTCCTTATATTGACCCTAAAAGTTTTAATAGACATAAAATGAGTGACAATGGATCGAAACAATTTATACTAAACGAAAAGAGTGACGTTTACAGTGTTGGCGTGCTCTTATGGGAGATATCAAGTGGACGTCCTCCTTTCGGTGTTGAAGATGGAAATTATGACATTGCTTTAGCTATAAAAATTTCACAAGGTCTTAGGGAAATGATCGTTTCTGGTACACCTGAAAATTATGTACACATTTATACTGGTAAATATATTATCATGAATTAATTATATGAAAAATTTATAAATAATGCAAATCATAATTTTATTTTTTGTTTTAGAATGTTGGGATAATGAACCAAATAATCGTCCAACCATGAAAAAAGTAGTTGATAAATTAAATGCAATCATTAAAAAAACTAACATTACAAAAAATGGTCAAAATAATAATCATGAATCAAGTGTGGATAATAATAATTCATCACATGAAGAATTATCTCAAATCATTCAAAATTTTGATCAGATGAATATAATTAAAGTAGAATCAAGTAGTGAATTATCTGAAAAGAATTTAATTATAGCTACTGATGAAATAATTAATATCATTTTTAAGATGGTCAATAAAGGAATCAAATTCAAACAACATATTTTTGAATATCTTAGTAATCAAAACATTGATTTACAAGAAATTTTCAATTGGTTATCAGAGAATCAAAATAATTCAAATAATATTTTTTTACTTGGATATTTTACTGACAATAAAAAAAAAGCGTTTACTTTATTGCTTGACGCATCGAATCAAGATCATATACTAGCACAATATTATGTTGGAGCATGTTATCTATATGGTCGTGGTATCACAAAGAATGAAAAGTTGGCATTCGAATATTTTAAAATAGTAGCTGAGAAAGATTTTGCAGCAGGACAATTACATCTTGGTTATTTTTATGAATATGGAATATGCATTGAAAAGGATTTAAAAAAGGTTATCTATTGGCAAGAAAAGGCTGCAAATTACGGGAATTTGATTGCTATAAAAAATCTTGGCGTTTATTATCGTAATGGTATAGGTGTTAATGTAGATCATAAGAAAGCTTTTGAATTTTTTCAAAAGTCGGCAGAAGAAAACTATTCAGATGGAATATCAAATTTAGGATCTTGTTATTACGATGGAATTGGAACAAATGTTAATAAACAAAAAGCATTTAACTTATATGAAAAAGCCGCAAATTTAGAAAATAAATTTGCTCAACATAATCTTGCAATTATGTATGAATATGGGGATGGGATTGAAAAAAATATAGATAAAGCAATTTTTTGGTATGAAAAATCAGCCAAACAAGGATGTAAAATTGCTCAAAATAGTTTAGAAAAACTTTTAGAAACAAAAAAAAATGATAAATAAATTGTTATTTGCATTAGATTAAAAATTAATATATTACTCAAATCAATACTATGAAAAATAAAAAAAAATGAGTTACATAGTTTCGGAAAACTTAATAAGAAAGTTACTGCTTCCGGCCAATCTGCTATAATGACAGAAATGCGTGGATAAAAAGTAATATAAAATAATAATTCAATTGCGTAAAAGTTAATATGTCTTCTTTACCTATCAATTTACTGTATGAACTTTGGCTTTTTATCATTATTTCATATATTTCAGATAACAATTTCATGTTATGGAACCTTGATCCTCCCTGTTGGTAATATTGGAAACCCGATAGATCACGGAGACGTAAATGTCATTAGAATTGATATCTTTTGGATCCTTTTAATTCTTCTTAAACTTATTCAATGGTATTGGAAAGTCGAAATTTATCCTCGTAACCGAGAAGCACAACATCCTGTTCAGGATTTAACAATTTAAAGCTACGCCTTTGTAATGCATCCCAAACTCTATTTTTGGTAATCTTATTATAAATATAATTTTTATAATTTTTTTAATAAATTTTTATAACTATATAAGTAGTAAAGAAATTAAATTAATATGAAATTTTTAAAAAATTACTATAATAAATTTTTTAAAATCAAAATAATTTAAAAACTTAATAAACTTAACATATTTACTAATATAATTTATATAATTATTTTATTAATAAATATAAATTTATAAATTTATTAAACTTTTTAATTATTTATATAGATTTTTTATTTAAACTAAAAATTATATCATAATAAAAAATCTAAAATTAAAATTATAAAATTATTAAAGTATTTTAATTTAATTTAATGATATAAATTAGAGAGTTCTATAACATTGGATTTTTTATTTAATTACATAATTACACCAAAAATTCTTGTATTACTTAATATAAAAAAATAAAATTACACACTGAAAATCAAGAATACATATAAACTGTATGGTATAATCAGCTGAACTGTACAAAAGTGATTGTAACCAATCATATTTCATTGTATACTTTTTTGATTTTAGTATAATGAAATATAATTGGTTGTAATTACTTTCGTATAGTACAGTTCAGCTGATTATACTGTACAGTTTATCTACCTACCTCTGAAAATCTGATAAAAAATTATTTTTAAAAATATTACTAACTAACGTTTTCTTTTTATTATGTTTAGAACGAAACGGATTTCGACTTGAAAAATAAATCTAAAAGGGTTTTTTTAAAAAATTTACTTTTAAAAAATGTATTAATGTTTCTTTTTTTATATTTTATAAAAAATAAACTTATAAATTGATTAGGATGCGTTCTTTTCAGCATTTACTCAAAAAATATTATTAATGTTTCTTTTTTTATATTTTGTAGAGAATAGACTTGTAAGTTGATTGGGATGAATTCTTTTTAGCATTTATTTGAGAAATGTTATTAATGTTTTTTTTATATTTTATAGGGAAGCCAGACTCTTGAAATCTTAAAAAAGGCTCGTAAGTCCATTAAAGGTGTATTCTTTTCAGTATTGATATAAGAAACATTATTAATAATGTTTCTTTTATTATATTTTTAGGGGGGTTAGACTATTGAAATCTTGAAAAAGACTTGTAAGTCTATTAGGGGTGAATTCTTTTTAACACTAATATAAGAAATATTTTTAACATTTCTTTTTTATATATTTGGTAAGGAATTGACTTGTAAGCCTATTAGAAATGAGTTCTTTCAACCTTGACTTGAAAAACGTTATTAACATTTCTTTTTTTATATGATTAATTCTTTTCAGCACTGACTTAAGAAACATTATTTAAGTTTTTTTTATATTCTTTGTAGGAAAATGATGTATACTTTGGACATAAAAGTGATATATATAAAAATGATGTCAAATGATATATAATGACTTAAAAATGATTTTATTTTTCAAATGTGATAGATAAAAAAAAATTATTCTGTATATTTATATCAATATTAAAAAATAAAATATAAAGATAAAAGAATTATTTAATTGTATACTTGAAATATCAAAATTTATTATTATTATATACATTAAATTTCAATTGAATCATCTATTACAAATAATGATGCTTCAAGATTAGTTGTAAATAAGTCAAATAAAACCCATTTTGCTTTCAATTCTTCTGTTGAATAAATATTTTTATTTATACTTCAATTTTTAATATTAATTTTATTCTCATATAATTCATCATTAATTATTTTAATCTAACGATTAATACATGCACTCTAATCTAACATTGTTATTTTTTTATCATTTTCTTCCTTCTTATTATTGCTCCTATTTCCTTCATCTGAATAATCTGATACCTGAAATTCTTCAAATTCATTTATATCTACTTCAATTTCATTATTTAAGATTGGTATTTTATTAGTAGAATCAAAGTATAATATTTTTTTGGTTTTTGTATAATTCGAAGAACTTTTTGCTTTTGAAATTCAGCTTATAATTGACTCATAACCAATACTTTATTATGTTTTCTCAATAAAATACTATTAATGTACGATTTTGGTGGATCGTTATAGTTAAACGAAATATTTGAGTGTTGTTTCTTTTAATGTATGTAATAATCTACTAATTTATTCCTAAGTCCTGAATTTATAACTAGTATCACTTGAACGTATTCAAACTGTAATTCACTAAGACTTGTATATTCATAAAGATTCACAACAGCAGTGATTATCATGAAAGCTTGAAATATTACTTAGATTCACGAGCTTTATACTATTACTTAAATATATGAAGACTTATAATATCACTTAGATATATAATATTATTCAGATAATGATGTAAAAGATCACGCAGATGTATAAGATAAATAATAATATGGTTTATTAATAATAATAATAAGAAGAAAGTAAGAAATAAAGAAATATAAAGAAATAAGATAATGAAAAGTAAAAAAGTTTTTACAAAGATAAAAGAACACACATCTATTCAAATGTTTCTAAGAGAATTATTGCATACAGCTGAGTTGAATTCTGTCTTTCTACAAGTAATAAAATCTACTGTATTTATATCTTTTCAATTACATATAACAATAAATAAAATATATTAATTAAACAAGTTATATTTATTATACTAATTATGTTAACAATGATAATAATGTCATTAATGTCAACTATATCAACAATGTCAAGAATATTACGTAATACATGTAGATCAATTTGTAGATCAATCTTGCAAATCATTCTGTTGATCAATTCTGCAAATCCCTTTTGTA